AGTGGACTTGTATGATGATATGAATAGTATTTGCTATGTAGGATATTACTGTTGGGGTGTCGTTATAACCGCGTTGCATTAAAGATTTTTCGAAGTATTTTTGATTGTGTGGTTTGAATTTTGCTTATGTTGGCGTGTTTTACGGAACCCCAAAGTTCTGCTCTATATGTCTAGATTGGTCTTAGTATAATGGTGTAGATCAGTCGCTTGCTTCGTAAATTGAGTGAAAATCTATAGTTCAAAATATGTGACAGTTGTTTTTATAGTCTGGTCAGTTCTTGTTGATGTGAATACTTCTTAGGCGCGTTTTGTACTTATTTTGTGAAGAGTGAATTAGATTAAGCCGTCAGATTCCGATGTATAACGATCGGGTAAAGTCGACTATAGTCGATTAATTGAAGTGTTTTTTGCATATAGATTAAAATATCTCAGAAACTAAAAATAGGACCTGCATACTGTAAGCGGAGGAGTTGTCCGTCATTTCATCCTCTTTGTAATGAGTTGTTATTCAAAATTATATTTTAACGCGATACCATGTTAGGCAGACGAAAAGGAAAAAAATAGAGTCGAAAACCAAATGGTAACGAGTTTTATTGAAGATATGGATTACAATATCTCAGAAACTAAAAATCGGACCTGCATACTATAAGCGAGGGAAATGTTCAGGTTTTCATCCTCTTTATAATAAGCTATTATTTATAATTTATATTTCATATTATTAATATCGCCTTTTTGATGTTTTCACTTTTATTGTGTGATCTGAAGCACACACATTAGTTTTTTTTTTTTTAATTGGTGTAAATGTTCAAGGTGAGTTTTCCATCATCAGCGAAGTTATAGACTAATTTTTATATTAAAAAATGTTTGCTTCTTTTTCAGCCAATAAAATGCCAATGATATGTTATGATGACATTTATTTTGTTCGAAACATACTATTTAAAACATATTTATACAATTTTAAATTGTGTTATGGACGGCGGGAAATAAAACAAAAAGTCTCAAAATTATGTTTGCCCCTCCTGGCAAAAATACTAGCGCCGGCCCTGATGAATCTTATATTAATAATCACTGTAACCACTAAATTATTTTCAAAATAGATGATAGATTTATATTAGTCACCAAGCCAAATAATTATTTATAAAATAATTCTTGACTATTTATCATCCTTTTAACTATTTTAAATACCTTAAATCTTCTGAATTTATTTCCTTTAAGAAAAAATTATAATGGAACATGTAAAAAATCTGAGATATCTTAAAAAAATAAAAATATTTGACAATGTTTTCACAATGAAGAAATATTTTAATAAAAAGGAGATTTTTTGTTATTTAAGTGAAAACTTCTTTAGGAACGTTCTGTATTCTTTTTTTTGAGGAGATTGAATTAGATTGAGCCGTCAGATCTCCGAAGTGTAACACTCGAGTAAATTGAAGTGTTTTTGCATATGGATTAAAATATTTCAGAAACTAAAAATCGGACCTACATACTGTAAGCGAAGGAGTCAAAATAGTATCTTAACGCGCCACGGTGTTAAAGTTGCAACAATGAGAAGAATAGTGTCGAAAAACAAATGATAACGATTAAAAGGGCCATTTTCAAGTCTTGATGAGTCCTCCGTTATATATTCATCATTAATGTCGCAAATAATTTGTTCAGTGAACATTTTTTTTTATTTATTTATTTTATATATATATTACAACATGTCATACTGATAAGTTACATGTTTATGATTACATTAACCTTTACATGACATAATAGTGGTTTGAATACTACTTACAAAATTGAAATTCATTTTTAACAGTAGGAAAAATTTCATAAAAAACCTACGTAAAAAGTGAACATTAAATTGTCATGCTCTAAGGGGTTTCGCCTACGTCATTTATGGAGGTACTGATAAAATCTCAAGACACCAAAATTAGGATAAATGAACAGAAGAAAAATGATAACGAGTTTTATCGAAGATAAGGATTAAAATATCTCACAAACTAAAAATTGGATCTTCATACTGTTAGCAAGGGATGTGCTCGGCATTTCATCCTCTTATATTTCATATTATTAATCACACCTTGTTGATATTTTTACTTATATATATATATATATATATATATATATATATATATATATATATATATATATATATATATATATATATATACATGGTTGATTATTTATTATTTATTACTTACGGCTAGGTATATGGATATGACGGATGCAGCGACCCTGAGGGTGCAGCACCAGCAGTGCTCGAGAAGCGGCATACCGACGGCCTCATCTCCTGTTGGGTCCTACCGTCCGATGACCGCCCTCCGCCCAACGGTTCGAGGAGAGGATGCAAGAACGGCACACTAAGCCCTCTCGGTGAATACTGATTAGGATCACCAAAGGCGGGCGACTTTCTCTTACAGTTCGGGTATGCTCGGCTCGGTTCGGGATCGGACATTCCCTTCTGTGATCCAGTCGCATTCCTTGGTGCGTAGGGTTCGGTTCATGTTCGGGCGCCATAAATATTGAAATTCATCAATATTTTGACCACATGAGAGTTACTATGTATCAATAATATTGACGTTGATAAAATTGGCTGATACTTATAACTTTATTAGTATTTATAAAATTATTAGACTAGTAGGCCCGTGCGAAACATTCGCACAGCATATTGTTCTCAAATGCCAGATAAATAAGAAAATGAAATAATGCAACCTATCAAAACATAAAGAAATCAATTGTTACTTTATCGACAAATATAATCGACAAAGGAAACAAAAAGTAATTTAAATCTTCATTTTTGTTTGGAACCAACATAGTTACAAATTTAAATAAGCTGTATCTTTGCTAAAGATTTCGATGAATTTTTTTCTTTTTATAGGGAATTTAGTAGATCTTTTATTTAATCATGTGCATAACCAAGGGAAAAGTGTGTAATTTTTTAGTTATTCGCAAATAAAGTTTGTTTTCTTTCATAACTTTTTTGCTTGAATTTTCGGAGCGATTGGACTATTTTGTCTGCCTGAAGGAGAAGGAAGCCTTCGAAATTGGAGGCTCAATCTTGAGATTTGGTGAAAAATTGACGATGATATGCCTTGCCGATCAAAAATACCATCGATAAATAATATAAACTCCTCTCTCTCGATCATAGAGACCTCAAGTCGATGAAATGAGACATGCATTCAATGACAGTACAACAATTAATGTAAGGTTGTGTGGATGCGAACCCTATGCCTTGCGTTATCTCGAAAATAGTACGTATAAAACGCAGGATCCGATAGTTACGGAGGAACTAACCGGGTCTTGCTGTATGCATCAAAATCTTCTTTTCTAAAATTTGTCCCGTATCGATCTAAAGACCTACCAATGTTCAGGTATTGAAGCCTAGCAAAATGTTTGTATCGACTTTATTTATTTTAGAAAGAAAAACAAAAGTGGAGAATACAATTCGCTAACCCTCCGTGAAATTCTGAATCCAACGGTACCCCATTCATGGTATTTGAGCATGAAAGGCTTATATTTGGTACGAAACCGATTTCGAGCCTTACTTTAATAACATATGTACGGATACTAAAGGTGTGTGCTTTAGACAACACGATATGAGTAAAAATATTAACAAGGAGAGATTAATAATATCAAATATAACTTATAAATAATATCTCATTATAAAGAGGATGAAATGCCGAACATTTCCCTCGCTTACAGTATGCAGGTTCGATTTTTAGTTTCTGAGATATTTTAATCCATATCTTCCATAAAACTCGTTATAATTTGATTTTTGACACTATTCTCCCACTTTTAGCCTCCCTAACACCGTGTCGCGTTAGGATACAATTTAATAATAACATTGATGTTGATAAAATTGGCAGATACTTATAACTGTATTTTTGTTTTGTGTTTCTAGAATTAAAAGGAAAAAAAAACAACAACTAATGTGTGTGCTTTAGACCACACGATATAAGTCAAAATATCAACAAGGAGAGATTAATAATATCAAATATAAATTATAAATAATATCTCATTATAAAGAGGATGAAATGCCGAACATTTCCCTCGCTTACAGTATGCAGGTCCAACTTTTAGTTTCTGAGATATTTTAATCCATATCTTCAATAAAACTCGTTATCATTTGTTTTTCGACACTATTCTTCTAATTTTTGTATCTATAACACAATGGCGCGTTAAGATACAATTTTGAATAATAGCTCATTACAGAAAGGATGAAATGCTGAACAACTCCTTCGCTTACATTATGTAGGTCTGATTTTTAGTTTCTGAGATATTTTAATCCATATGCAAAAACACTTCAATTGACTCAAGCGTTACACTTAGAAGATCTGACGGCTCAATCTGATTCACTCTCCACAAAAAAAGTACAGAACTCTCATAAACAAGTTACCACTTAAATTACAAAAAATCACTTATTTATTAAAATATTTCTTAATTGTGGAAGCATTGTCAAATATTTTTTATTTTTTAAAGATATTTCAGATTGTTTACATGTCCCTTACAATTTTTTTTTAAAGAAAATGAATTCAGAAGATTCAAAGTATTTAAAATAGTAATAAGGATGAATAGTTAAGATATATTTGATTAGATTTGCTGACTTTTTGACATAAGCACGTTTGTGTTTGGGCGAACAATTAAAATAATACATCACAAATATAAAATATAGTATATATTTTTATCTATAACTATCTATCTATTATTGCCCAAATAAGAGGCTTATTTAATTTTACGTTTATCGTAGGATATCCAAGAAAAACATTTATATTAATGTTATATATTAATAATGTGTTTTATGTTGTAGTCTGGCAATTACAACTTCTAGTAGGTAATAGCTGATGGAGCTACTCTTTTAAACTACTCCAATTTTAGTAATGAAATATAATTCTTTTTTTTTATTAATTAACAAAAATGTTGACAGGCTTGAATGTAGTGAAAAAAAATTGAAAAAATAAATAATGTTTTGGATCAAAATAAAAAATGGTAGCTCAAGGAGAAAAAATCAAACCAAATAAACAGGAAGCATTTTATTGTTAATTTCCATATTACAAATTTAACATATAATAAAAATTAGTACATTTAAAATGGACTATAATAAGGAATAAACCTACAAACAATAACCATTCATTAGAAAGAAATATTTTTCTTTTTCTTCAATAATTACAAATATAACAAAAAACAATAATTTAAACTCTTATAGATATTTTTAAGAATTGAAAGAATGAGTCAAAATAAAAAATATAGACTTGTATAAAGATGCTATCACAAAATTGGTGTAAATTTTTAATTCTTCTCATCATAAGAATGATAATGATAATAGTTTCTACAATTATTTTTTTATATAAAAAATAGTCGCTCGAATATGATTTACTCTCTAAACTTCACTTTGACAATATCGTGTTCGATTCTTTTAGAATACAAACAACGCAATCGCCACCCCTGTTAGCTGACATCATAGATTTCCAGCATTTCGCAAAGATATATAATCCTCCTTACTTTAGTAGCAGTAACAAAATAATACCGGAAGTGAAAATGGCTAAAATGTGTTTAACCTTGTAAAGTTAAAACCATTCATACATCTATAAACAGATCATTAACACTAAAGTTAGCATTTACGTGCGTAAAATTGTGACTAATGACACTTTATGTCAACAACTACGTCTTGGATACATTTCAAATTTTGACAGAGGGTTGTTAAGACGTTAAAATAACATAAATATTTATGCACGGTTAGTACACATTGATACTATTCAAACACTTACTATAAGCTTCATAATAGATCAACATTTAATTAACTTAAAATTTATAGAAGCTACCATTAATTAATTTAACATTGAACATATAAATGCAATTCAACTTTACTTCCTCACCCCAAAAAATATTTTTAAAAACATTAATGTTTTTATAAAATTAAAAAAAAAAAGAAAAGGAAAAGGAGAGGATTAAATTTAATGATTGTTAGATTTTTTTTATGAAGTATTTCTTCACTTTTTAAATTTGAGGTGTTTTATTTTAAGACCATTTACTTCCATTTTCAAAAAAAATATTTGAAATTTCATTTTTAATACCATCGAGATGGGTTACTTTGCATCTTATAATTTTTTTTTTCATTTTATTGCAATTAAAATTTGTTATCATTTATAAAAAAAAAGTATTTCTTGAAGAACATTTAAACAAAATGTTTTAAAACATTATGTTTTAGTGCTGCTCTTTATCGAATCGATTTAAATTGAACAGGTTTTTGATTTTTAGAAATGGTGCTTTTATATTTAATAAAAAATAAAAATAAAGCATCCATATATATTAACTTAGTATAAAATAATGTATTTTTCTTTCATTTGTAATCAAAGATAAACAAGTACAAATTTCAATCTTTTTTGACTCTTATAGGTGGGTAAAAACATAGATTACCACAAAAACTTCTGCAAAATAACCCGCTTCGATGGTTTTCATACATATCTAGATCCTTCTAGACATATCCTTTATTAAAAAACATCATATAGTATTTGCTAAGTAAATATCTTAGAAGTCATAATTACTTGAACATGGAAATAATGCTTTTATTTTAAATAACTTACTTTGTTATTTAATAAAGGAACAGATTTTGTCACTCCATAATTTTTTTTGGAAAATGAAAGTTATTGGTTTTCAAAACCAGATGCCTTATTACAGGGAGTATATACTGTTCAGATCTAGAATTATTATTCTCCATTTTCTGGAAAATATCTGAACTGCGCTACATTGTTTTAACAGGTTAAATATTGTATTTAAACTCATATTTTATACGTAGCTAATTACTAAATATTTATACATTTTAACAGATTTGTGCGACATGCTGTGATATTTTTCCTGTGTTGGAAATTTCTACTTCGTGGAAGTGCTTTTCTAATAATGGACATTGCTTCCTATTAAATAATGAAAGTATGCAAACAAAATCGAAAGTTTATATAATTCATTTATATTGTTTTTCTCGCTGCCAAGGAACAGTTCTAATAGCGACTACAGCTCATGTAAAGTGAATTTATTTAATAGTATGTACAGATATAAATCACACTTGTGATTTAAAACTATCATTATATAATAACATTTCTTCGTGAATATAATATCTTTATTTTTATTCTCTCTTCGATCAACTTCGTTCATGGAATGAACATTTGTGTAATAAAATACTCAAGTGTTTAAAAATATAGTCGCAACCTTTATTCAACCTCATAATATCAAGTTATCATTGAACTAATCAAGAATCCCTTTTGATTTCAGGATGAAATCAAAACAAAGCATGTTATATAATTAAAATCATCTAAAAAAAATAGTTGTTCCCATTCACAATTCTGTTTTTCCTGCATAAATGAAATATCACTCATCAATAGGATGGATTGGTATATTGCACATTCTGTTAAAGAGTATATTGGACCATAATTGCACTCCTAGCTGTAGTTATTAACTACAATATTTTTAGTATATTTGTAGTGAAAATAATGAGTTATAAAAAAAAAATAATACAATAACTGAATCAATTGTTCTTATTTATTCAGTTATACGCACTAAGAAGTATAAATAAAATAGTTTATAGTATAATAAATATTTTGTTAGTTAATATTTTATGATATTGATTTATTTTGTTAATGTTCAATATCTTATTATAATGAAGTCCTGATAATCGGAACTTCGGTAATAAGAAAGATCTAAATTTACTAAGTATTCCAACCTCCGGGATGTCTGAGGTTACTTGAAACCTACAAGAGGATTTTGATTGTATCAACAGATTGATAAAAATAAATGAATTGAAACTGAACACAGGAAAAACCGAGGCCTCATTAGTCCTCTTCCTTAGTATTCTCTACTTTACCTTTATAACTGACCCATCCATTTTTTCCCAACAGTGAAAAACCTACTAATAACTTTTCATCAGAACCTCTTCTGGAATAAATATATTTCCCAGATCACTTGAAAATTCATAACTATCCTTAACCAACTCCTAAGATTATATGATTCTATTCCTCAAAAGAACAAACAGCTCCTTGTAACAACACATATTTTTCCCCCACTTCAACTATAGTTGCTTTGTGTATTGGACACTGATGGCAAGGCTGAAGATAAGATTGAAGAGACTTGTGAATTTAAATGGCTCTATTCTACTTCCTGATATCAATTCCTTCTTAGTATTTTCTTTCTTAGAACCAAAAACCCTCTCTACATCCTAGAACCCCTCACTCTACATTTCTATATTCACTATTCATATACTAGATCTTAACTTATTGACCTATATATCTCCTCCCATAAAACCACTTCCTTCAGAAAATAATTGAGTTACCTCATTTCAGAACTCCTTCTTTGCCTCCATTCCTCAATTCTCTTCCGCAAAGTCCTTTAAACTCACATGTGATCATCTACTTCATATTCAAACCACTGAAACTATGTAAGAGTTATTTGTTACTGTTATTACAGCTACTGCTAACAGTTAAGAACCATTCTGTTTTCCTTCATACCAGACTAATGTATATAAATTCTGAACTCTGTCGTTATTGTTGAGACAAACCTTCGTTCCAGAATAAAATTATTTTTTCAATTCATTCCAACGAAACTAATAATGTTTTGTTATTAAGTTTATTTAAGAAAATTTCTGGTTAAAACTGGAATCGACATTATTTCATAAAGAAAAGAATATCTCCCCCTTCATCATACCAGCTCCTCAAAACAAAAATGCTTATGCTGGATTCGTGGTAGATTATATATATAGCATCATGCTACATAAATGTAACCAAAATGTCTGAGTGAAATACCTTCTCCTTGTTATCACTTTATGATATTAATTTCATTCTTATCTGGGATGACAAGTTCTTTAAAAAATACTTCAGCAATTTCAAGTGGTCGATGTCATTGGCTTGAAACCACAGATCATTTTTATTTCAATTTGATAATATTTTGGAGAAAGGCCACTGGTTATTTATGGGTATGAGAGTTGGTCCTTAAACAATAACTCAGAATGCATGCTCTACTCCTCGGAGAAGAAAGTATTGAGAAGAATATGGTGCGAAATAGCTGAGAATGGAAATTTGAGAAGAAGAAAGAATGAGGAGCTGCGGGAACTGCATGGAGAATCCGATATTGTGGTGTTGATAAAAAGAGTAGATAAGATAGATAGGTTGTGTGAAAAGAATGCCCAACTAAAGATGTTCTACGAGATGCTGGATGGCAAAAGAAATAGAGGACGCCCTCTGATCAGATGACTGGAGGATGTGCAGGATGATTTAAAACGTCTGGGAGTTAGAAAGTGGATGGAGGTACTAGTACCATTGTAAGACATAAATATCCATTAACAAAATCATTAAGTATGACTTTTCTTAAAAAAAAAAAATTGTTAATCTGAAATAGGTCCCAATCATTTTGGATTATCAGGACTCCTTTGTATTTGCTGAAAGTCGGAATAATTTATTTATTTTATCTCATTGAGGTATATTATTAATATATACATAATCCAGGTTATATAAAACCACTATCGTTCAACTCTTTCAGTCCATATGTACCTTCTGGAAAGATGCTCCAGTCTTTCCCCACGGCCTTGTGGTTCATTGGAAATAATGCTCTTATTGCTCCTATTATTTCTTATTCCAGTGGATTGTACGTCACAAGGAGACTTTTTCTACTCCCATCAGCGAAATTTGCCTTCAGTTCCCTTTTAGATTTAAAGGGGTATGTTTCGTTATTAAATCAGCCTTATAGATGTTTTATAATTTTTTTTTTAATATGAACCCAGTCATGAGATATTATCAGAAAATGACTTACTGAAACTGTTAACATTTGGAATACATTTAAATGGTTGTGAATGATAATTTTTATATTTCTAGGAATGCAATTATGGTGATGGAATTTACTTTTCAAACATAATCCTATTATTTGCTATTCAGCCAAGGTAAGGAATGTAACCCCATCTCAATGCCGCCGCCATCGATAAAAAATAGAAGCTAAATAAATGGAATGAGGGTTGGAATGGGTTGTTGTCTTCTAAAGTGGGTCGCTAAGACAAAGCTACTCGCGCAGTTTGTGCCATTCGGCAATTTGTCTTCTCGGCGAGTTCCTCACTTCGTTCCAATGGTGCAGTGCGGACCCTACTGTTGAGCCCCCAAGCTCAAGCCTCCCAATCACCTGTAACATGAATATAAAATAAACAAAACTATAAATTAATAAATGATTCAATAAAATTGAGAAGTATTCTATTAACTGTTCATAAAAATATATATATTGTAATGTCAACATTACATGGTATTTGAATAGTGGCGTGGGGGTGGTAACGGCGCGAACTACGGGGAGGAAGTGGAGGAAGCAAGCCTAATGTAACTCAGAATGTGACGGGCCGCCGAGAGAGAAGGTGTTAGCGGCCAAGAGAGAAGGTTATGAGCCGCCAAGAGAAAATGTGACAAGCTGTCAAGAGAGAAGGTACTAGCCAGCAAGTTGAGAAAATAGAAAAAGGAGTCCTAGCCGGTTCGAGTGTTGATAGAGGCCACTAGTGAAGATATTTTATGTTGGAAGAAAACAACATAGCAGAAAATAATTAAGTGGTACAGAAAACGGGACATTCGTAAGTAAGAAGAGATTATTTCGCTGGCAGGCGTAAACATTTGGGTGAGTGCTAACAATGCCATTTATGTTGACAGAGGGATAGAACAAAAAGTTTAGACCGGGACAAATTATTTTATAAAATATTTTAAATTATAAATAAGTGTATTTAGTAATTAGTAAATTATAGTTATTTAATGTTGAATGAGTGTTCAGTTGTCAGAACCCAACCTGAGATTTATATTATATGTCAAAATAAATATTATATTGAAAAAAGAAACTCGTTGTTTGATTTTGTTGACAAAGGGAATGTTATAATATATTGGAACATTCTACTACTAAATGTTATTTATACGTTTATTTAACAACTACAGTAATATTTTTAAAGACACTCAATACTCTTACACAGGATGTCCTGTAATTAGAAAGAAATATTTATAATATTGATAGTAGACATTAAGATCTTCAAAAAAATTCATATAAACAATTGCCCGATTTACAGCAGAAAATTTGGAAATATATGATCTTTTAAGCATCACGTTTTTTGTTGAATAAGAAGCGATAACTTAAAAATTATTTGATTCAAGTAATTGAACATTACTCCATAGTGAACTAGACAAAACTTACTTTAAATAAGAGCAGAATTTGTCATTGTTAAAACTATTTAAAGAGAACTATTGAGAGGACAAACACAGCTAAGTTACATTTAAAAAAATCATTAATTATTTGTATTTTTTTTTTATCACCCTTCAACTGTACTACATTTACCCCAATTTCAAAAACAACTTCCTAATTTAATAATCATTAAGTGCATATTAATTAAGTTCAGGTTTAATTGGAGAAATTTCGAGATTCACCTAAAGTTGTGTAAAGAAATTACTATCCAGCCTTACGTTTCGAAATGGCGGACGAAAAATGTATGCTTCTATAGACTATAACCCCACAAAGGCAGGAACAATTTTAATAAAACTATGTAAAAATCTTTTCCTTGAAGCCTTTTTAATTTATCTATACAACAAACTTTCCTGAAAATGATCGGCAAAAAAGGTTACGATAAGTTCAAAATTTTATTCGTCAATAAATCAAAAAATCCACAATTTTTTGTTCATCAAACCTATGAGTATTTGAAAGCTTCCTGATTCCTCCTACCTAATGAAGAAAAACAAAATCATCAAAGTCGAAAATAATCATGCCTTATAAAATATTTTGATTGCATTTTTTCTGTTAATATTTTTTAGAAGAGCTCTATTATGACAAATTTATATTTTGAGTAATTTATTTTTGGTTTTACTTTATATAGATATACATTTTATTTTCTAATAAAATAATTTTTCTATTGAAATCTGTATATATTTCCTTGTAACAATATTTATGACAGGACTAGGTAAGTACAATGTTGAAATTTTTACCGAAGGAGCAAAGTGGATTCAAATATTTTTTTAAGGCGAAACCAACTTAAGGAGAAACCAACACAAGGAGAAACCAACTTTAGATTGGTATTTCATATCTGTAAAAGTCCTTAAAGAAGAATTTTCATTGCAATAGAAAAATAAATTTTATTTGCCTCAAATATTCATCAAATGAGCAAAGTGAGTTAAAATATTTTTTTGGAAAAAGTAATGATGTGATTTTCGATCTTGCCCCTAAAGGTACCCATGTTTTCTGCAAAACATACTACAATTAACTGTTGGAAAGATTTTGTTTCTTTTTGTTAGTTCTTGTGATATGGGATGTATTATAACAAACATAATTGCCTAAAAACACATTTTATTTATGAAAAAAAAATAATATTTCAAATATTTTTTTATTAAAGTGGTTATGAAAATAGGAATTGATCCAAATTTATCAGCGACAAACATAATGTATCTAGTTCTGAAATTGATGTTTAAAAATAAGAAACCAACTGATTGCTTCAATTATTTTCATGAAAACGTAAATATTAGGACCAGAAACATTAAGTTTGTCACTTATAAATACGGATAAATTCCTATGACAGAGATCTGAGAGTAAAACACAATTTCATAACCAACATTTAAAAATTCAATATTATGGATTTTTTATTTTTATAAATAAAAAGTGTATTTGGGCAATTATGAATTATGGAGAGATGGACCAAGTATACTCGAAATATACAAACAATAAAAATTGTTTACAAGTATTTTTTTTTTAATATGACTTATGGGCAAGATTGTGGAGAAGAAATAAAATAATGAAGAAAGATCGAGAATATGAAATAATAGAAAAAATATATTTTTATTTCTAATGAATAATTAATTTTTTTAGTAATTTCAGATAAAAAGAAAAAAAACATTACTAAACAGTGTATTCACCAAAAATATATAAGTAAATTGTAGTTTATACATATGTTGCATAAGAATTAATTACATTATAATTGAGGTATCTAGAATTTAAATTATTGTGGAGCTGAAATGAAATTAAAAGTAATGTAAGTTATTATATTTCACCTTTGGCCATGAAATAATTAATTCATGTTAAAGTTAAAGTCAATTTTTTTTATTTATATATTTATTTATTTATTGAGTGTTACAACAATCTGTCACTAAAGTCAATTAAAGTTAGTTAAATAATGAATTTTTGTTTCTATTACTAAGATCAGGCTCTAGACAAAATGTTATGAAATGTTCATCCAAAATATCAGAAAACAGAGGTAGGTTTTAAAAATATTTTACCTCATTCTTTGTAACTCTATCCCAATCAAGAAGAAGGAACTCGAGAGAAACATGATCAAGACTTTCTGCTCCTTGTGGAATTTCAAAGACAAAAGATTCATTGAAAACTGGATTCAAAGTTCTCTTCTTAACATGTGTTTTCTTCTTACTGATTCTCTGGCCATTATACATCAAATACATCTTTACATAAGGATCTGAAATTAATAAATAAAATTAATATAATAAATAAATATATATATGCATATAGTTTACACTGAAAATATAAATTTCAAAACTAATTCATAGTTTACACTGGTTTTAAATATGTGATAAAAAAAAAACTTTTTCTTTTTTAAATTATAAAATTAAGAAATAAAATATATGCTTTGAAAATTCTTTCAGAAAATGATAAAAATAATAGACATTTAAACAAAAAAAAAATGGTTTATTTTAAATTACAATATACTCAGAAATATAGTTGTGAGTAAAATGTTATTGTATAAATTTTAAGTTTCTAACGTAGGCAATAAATTAATAGTGTAATTTAAAAAAAATAAATTATTATATTGAAAATGGAAAATGTATTGAATTAATATCCTCTTTAGAGGAGAGGTTTTAATACATTATAAAAAATGGATGTAGGCAAATTAGAACAAATAGTTTAATTTTAAGATAAATTATGTAAGTAGATAAACCGATAATGTTATTATAAATAAAAAAATTATTATGAACTATAATAAGGCACTGATGTAAGGATTGTTTCTTATAATTTTTTTTTCCCCTTGAAAATGGCCTAAAGGGCTGAAATGATGAATAAAAAAAGTAAAGTAAGACAAATGGGTCAAATATGAAGCTTATAATTGAAAATATAATTAAGTCTAAAACAAATTATATTAAAACATACATTCATAAACAAAGTCAATATGAATTTATTTTTCTATTAATTGTTTAATATTAGATATTATATTTATTTAGAACATTATATTTAGGATTTATCTGATACATTCCCTTTATTAAGTCTGTTCTGCTTACCAGCAAGACCAGTGACATCCATCTTAGGTAAATTCCTTGCCTTCAAGACAACTACACTTAGACGATTTGCAGCTGGTTGCCAACAGAGCGATAGTAATAGTTCTCCTCTGCCTTGGCATTTGATCTATATTTAAATATATAATAATAATATTAAAATTTAATAAAACAACAATATATTTGTTTATTTTAATATTTTCAATACTAAAAATCTTCCAAAAAGGCAAACAATTAATAGATCTGAAATCGCTTGACCACCAAGGATATAACCTCGTTGAAGATCACTTCATACTGTTGGGATACTTCCAAAAGAAATAAGAGGTAGTTAAATAATGAACAAAATTATAAGAGTATTAATATATCAAATTGAAATTTTATAATTATTTTAGTTCAGGTATGGGTCACTGACAATCAGACCAAAAGACTCAGACAGACTAACATTAACTACCTAAACACTGTTTGAAGAGAATGATGTTTGGGGTGATCAGTCAGAAATAAGGAGGCAAAAATAAATAATAATAAAATAAAAATAAGTTCAAGCCTTCATCAGGGCTAAGAAATGAAACAGATAACAAGGTATGAGAAACATAAATAATGCAGGTAAAAAAATTAAAGTAAAATGAAGTGGGTAGAATATTGACAATAGTAAGAACTAAGAGATAATTAATAATAACCGTTACAAAGTGTGGAATGATGAAGTAAATACAATCAAAAAAGGTGATACAAGTATTAAAATGGTAATCTTAGAATAAAATGTGAAACAGTTTTACATTTCATATGTTTTAAATTTTACTGTTTTACATTGTATTCTAAGATTAGCATTTTAATACTTATGTCACCTTTTTTTATTATGTTTACTTCATCATTCCACACTTTGTAACAGTTATTATTATTTATCTCTTAGTTCTTACTATTGTCATTATTCTACCCACTTCATTTTACTTTAATTTTTTTACCTTCATTATTTATGTTTCTCATATCTTGTTATCTGTTTTTTTTCTTAGCCCTGATGAAGGCCTGAACTTCAGATCGAAACATCGGCAAATGTTAAAATAAATATTATTATTTATTTTTGCCTTCTTATTTCTGACTGATCACCCTAACCATCCTTCTCTTCATTATTCACGACAGTCAACCATCAACCCATAATTATAAACACCGTTTGATTTTAAAATATAGTCAAGTATGGATTGGCAAGCTAACCATTTTTCTATATACACTGTTTTTTCTTTGTGTCACTGAATTCATTTGTCTTCTAACATTTTCCTATGTTCTGCCATAAACATCTTCCAAATGGTAACTGTTTAGGAAACTTCCCAATTTTTAATTAATGCAAGACAAATAACTTTCATTAGTTCTTAATAGGCAACATTCTCCTTTTATGCAGTGGACTGTACTTTAATGGATTGGTAAGTTATACTGATTGCGCAAAAATAGCTTACCATCTTTATGCCAGCTTATAACATTTCTTTGTTATCTTGAGGAAACCATCGGACCAGTTTTACCAACTTCCAATTAAGGTGTATATTACAATATATAAATAGAAATGTAAATATTCGTTTCTTCAAAATGTCCAAATATTATTCACTGATTGCTTTTAAATTTTGACAATATTTACATTGGTGCATAATGTTTTCAGGAGCGTTTTTATATACATTTCATTACTATCCAGCCTTACATTTCGAAATGGAGGGCAAAAAATGTATGTTGCTATAGACTATAGCACCAAATTTTAATAAAACTATGCGAAAATCTTCTGCTTGAAGCCTTTTTAATATATCTATGCAACATACTTTTCTGAAAATGATCTGCAAAAAAGGTTACAATAACTTCAAAATTTTATTTAAATAACTCAAAAAAATGCACAATTTTTGGTTCATCAAACCTATCAGTAATTGAGAACTTCCTGGATTCCCCCTACCAAATGAAGGAAAACAAAATCATCTAAGTTGAAAATAATCATGCCTGATAAGATATTTTGATTGAATTTTTTCAGTTAATATTTTTTAGGAGAGATATATTATGACAAATTTATATTTTGAGTAATTTATTTTTTGTTTTACTTTATATATATATATATATATATATATATATATATATATAGATTTTATTTTCTAATAAAATATTTGAAAAAAAATATTTTTTCTGTTAAAATCTGTATATATTTCCTTTAACAATATTTATGACAGGACTAGGTAAGTATAACGCTGAAATTTGTACCAACAAAAGGAGCAAAGAGGGTTCAAATATTTTTTTAAGGAGAAAACAAATTGAGATTGGTATTTAACACCTGGAAAATCCTAAAAGAAGAATTTTCGTTGCAATAGAAAAATATTTTTTTTGTTCCTCAAATATTCACCAAATGAGCAAAGTGAATTAAAATATATTTTTGGAAGAAGTAATGATGGATTCACATTTTTATTTGTCAATAACTCAAAAAGTACACAAATAATACTGCACTGTTTTCTTTTGTAAGTACATACAAAAGAGAATGTATGAATAGATGAGTAGAATAAAAATATGTTGGAAACTTTTCAACTCTCAAATCTTTACAACTCAAATCTTCACTTGGTGAACACTAGATTTACTAAATATTGTAATTCCAATTAATATTCAATACTAACAAACATTCCTTGGTTTCAGTTCATAATAGAGGTATTGTACAAACTATTTAAGAGGTTTAAATTTATTTAGAGAAATAATCAAAAGCCAACATTATAAATGTAAAGTAAGAGAAAGTAGAGAAATCATAAAAGAACATACAAACCTTCAGACTGCGTGGTTGTATTTCACGTGCGAGGGATAAGTGATGGTTTTCTGCTTTTTCTAGATCTACGGTGTCTAAGCTGCAGAAGACTTCTCCAATGATGTCATCTCGAGAATAACGATCAAAGCTCAGCACAACAAAGTGCAATGTAATATTCTGTAAATAGTAAAAGAAAAATAATGAAATGTAAAGAACATTGTTCTGCAAAATAAAAACATTATCTGTTGAGAAATTCTTCCTTTATTTAATATTTTCATGTATGCTGGGTTCGAATCTGAATTCCGAAAAATTCTATCAGGCATCATTTTTAAAAAATGAAGTTTGTTTTTGAATAAACTGAAATAGCATATTTTTTTCTTACTTTATTTATTTATTTATCTTCTTGTGAATAATAATATACAAATTATTTAATCCTGAACATAATACCACTTTATGCCAAGTGAATGTGTATATTTTTTCTATTATTGTGTTTTTCAGCTGTCTGCCGTTGCAGTGTCCATCAGTAGTTGGCACAAGTATATTCTCATTGCATTTACTGCAATATCTCTTCTTCATTCGGGCTATATCTTGATGAAACAGTTTTACGTATCATCTGAAACTGTTCCCATGTTGAAAGATAAGAAACTCAAATAAGACTGCAAAAAATTAATTTTTAATGACATGTTGTAACACACATGGCATTATATGATAAAAGCAATGCTTTATCCCAGTCTTTGCGATTTTCAGCTCTTTTGTAGCCTAAGAATTGTTGACACAAGTTTTCAAATGCAGACCAGCTCTCAGAATTTTTCGCATTGTAATACATTGTAATAGCTTCAAAATCAAATAATTTTTTTTATTTTTCATTGAAGATATTAATGATAAAAACATGCCAAAAAACACCTCATTTTTTGACCCACAAGGCAAATTTGACATAAAATGGTGGCTTTGGATTCATGTTCAGCATACCACAAAACATTTCTGTTAAAGGGTGGGATTTAAGAAAGTATAATTAAATAAATATAGAGTTTTCTTATTAGTTTCTTTAAAATTAAATTATAATTTTTGGCAGTAATATAATAATGACAAATACAACTTAAAATTTAATTAAGACCATATTTAAAAAAAATAATTTATTTTATATTGGGAGTGAAATAGTTGACTAGAAAATATGATTAGGAACTTTTCTGGAGGTTACGGTTAAAAAAACAAAAATAACATAAATGATTTTTTTCTTTATTTTGTACCAACTATTTGGCCAAAGTTTCAGGATTTCTTCATTACTGAGAAAAAACAATATACTAACCAAAGAAGAAATGTTATGAACATATTATAAAACGATATAAAAACAAAAATTATACATTATCTGCTAATAAATAAAGTCTAAGAAGTGAATAAAAATTACTCAGTTTATATTTCATTTTACCTTGCACAAAATTTTTTTTATAAAAACCTAAGAAAACAAAGTGAGAAACTTAGAGGATTTTACGAGGGATTTTGAATTAAAAGGATTGGATACAAGAGGACTTTGATGGTTTAGTGGCGCCACAAAGGTCAACTCTATAAGTCCAAATAGGCCTTATTTGTTATGTAAATGTTGTTGTGGCTGAAAAATTCTATAACGGTTAAAAAACAAATTTCTTGTTGTTTCAGACTTATATGAGAATTTCAAGTAAGAAGATTGTCCTAGATGGAGTCCCAGATAGAGGATCTGTTCGACATGGATAAGTGGAACATTATTAAAGGATACTGCAGGTCAGAAAGTCATACGTTTTTCAAAAAAGGGTAAAGATGATTTAATGGGATTTTTATGGAGTTTATTTTAATCCTCTAGTTTTCATACCATTATTCAAGATATTGAATGTTATATGTTTTACTGCAAATTGAAATCATAAGTTTTGACCATCTTTGTTACACTTTTGACTCTCTAATAATAATTAGTATCTCATTTTTTTTTCTATTTTTCATTGATACTCATTAATTTCAATATATAAATATACTTTTTGTAACCTTCGAATAACAATCTGAGAAAAAGAAATATAAGCATTTTATATACAATTTTCTAATATTTCAAGAAATAGTCAACATGAAATTACCGGTAATTGAGTTGGTGTGATTCCATAAAAGGTAAAATCCTCATCGTAGACAGGATTTCTTGTTTTTCGTAGAACGCGAGTCTTCACTTTATGCTGTTTGTCTGGCAACAATTGAAGTTTCACGTAAGGGTCACTACTTCCAACAGCTGGATCTTTGCCAGGCAGGTCTCGGCATTTCACAACGCTCACAATGAGTGTACTTTTTTCTTTCTTATATCTATTAATCAAAAGAATATATGCTAAATATATTTTTAAAATAGTATAATCATAATACACATTAATATGTGATTAAAATGGAAAAAATTATGAAAGAAATATAATTATAAAATTCTATAAATTAATTTACTAGTATTTAATAAAGATAAATATTATTAGCAGTTTAAATTCCAACAGAAATCAATACTATAGATTAATATCAAATTTTATCATGTTTACTTCAGAAAACTACTTGTCGTACAGTCAACAACAGAACCTGAATAAATATACAAACTTACTTTATAGACATACTCATCACAGATATATGGTAGGGAGAGAAATACTTTATTAAAAGTAATTCTGCCCTACTACATAGGGTTGCTTCGTACACAGCATACTTATCAATCAATACGGACATTAATTTTATATTATATTTTTCTATTTTTTAATATATATATACATATATATATATATATATATATATATCTATCTATATATATATATATGTATATATATATATATATATATATATATATATATATATATATATATATTATATATATATATATATATATATATATATATATATATATATATATATATATACATATATACATATATAACATATCTTTCTTTTTTTTTCTCCCTTTTCACAACAATACTCTTACAAATTATGAACAATAAACCATATTTAACAACAGATATAGCATAATAAAAATTTCCCCAAGATAAAAACAAACAAAACAAAAAAATTTGTTTTCTCTTTAAATTCTCAAACGCCAGGAACTCAATACAACATTGCACACATATATAACACAGCAATTCCTCAAATGTAGACAAAAAGATAAGACGATTATAGACCAATTTAAAATTTAATAAATAATTAATACAAGATGTCCTCAATCAGTATATAGATGATAGTGGATGATCTCCAGGGAGTCCAAAATAATATTTTCAGCCAATATCGCTAGCTCCCCAACATCAACACCTAGTTCCTCAAGGAAGCTCCTTGTTCTTTCCATGATCGTTCCGAAAAAATACCCAAACAAACTTCCATCAAAATTATTGCAACTCATAACAAAAACACCTTGGTACGTGACTAACAAAACTATACATACTGACCTCCACCTCCCAACAGTCGACCAACACATAATGACCCCCTACCAACATTTTTATACAAATTTACATGCATGTCACAACATATTAATAAGAGACATGACAGCAACTGACATACCCCAGAACTTGAGAAAGAGACTAAAAAGGCGTCGGATGAGAGATCTCCTTCTTTAAACAACCTAAGTAATTGAAACAAATCAGGGAAGAGGTGCTTCTGAGTACTTTCTTTCCAAATGCTTGACATGTCATTTCTATCTTATCATATATCCAGCACATTTGTTGATTGTTAACAAAAATAACTGGCACAAATAAATTGTTATAGATAAAAAATATATTTTGTAGTATTGATCTATAGTATATATATATATTAATGTATAGTATCTATCAACATGAACAATAATAAAACTGTAGATAACTTACCTTATACGGAAAACTAGCTGTCCAAGAACGGATCCAGTGCTGTTCTCATCCAACTGCTGGGATTCGTCGACGGTTGGGCTATCCATTCTGCTGCTCGCTGTCTCATCCTCAGTGTGGACTCTGAAAGAGACCCGTCTTCAGGCAACAAGGTGGAATATTTCTCAACTTATCGGCTCTACATAACTAAACTCTACCGACTAAACAGTCCAGCCTCTATTACTCTATTCGGTACTTATTTAATAGCGGGTAGCGTCAAAACCTCCCTTGTTATCTAATCTCATTTCACATAACCTCCCTTATCTCATCTAACCTAAAGTATTCCCTTGTTTATTTTTTGTTCCTTGTGTAAGCTGTGAGTTAGTGTTATTTAATTATGGATGCTGTCACATTGTGGGAATTGCCGTCTTCAGAAGAAGAGGCTGTGAAATATTTTCTGTAAAGGTGAAATATTGTGATGAAGGTCATCAAATGAAGTTCGACGGGAAGATTAAATGGAGATGCTTTCGTAGTTGTAACAAAACCGTTTCTATAAGGAAAGGAACGTGGTTAGAGGGGTCGAGGATTTCTTTTTTAACGGCTTTAAAATTCATTTATGGGTGGTCCCATAATTTAACTACAATACAGTGGGGGAAAGAGCAGCTCAAACTATCCATCGCAACTGTCGTAGCATGGAACAAATTTTTAAGAGAAGTTTGTGCCATGACATGTTATACAGGTCGAATAAAAAAATCATGTAGGGACGATAATATATATATATTAAAATAAATATTATATATTATATTTATATGTATATTATAGGGATATATATAGGGAGACATATGCTGTTTAAGTGGTTTTTTATTATTTCATCTATTTTTGTCTATTGTTTGCCTATTTTTATTATTTTATTTATTTTGATATATATGTTGCAATATTTTTTTAATTATATATTTATAATGTTTTGGTCTATATTAATATATATGTTGTAAAATAAAAGAATTTTTTTTATTATTACATTTGTTCTTGTTTTTGTTCACAATTTCAATAATATCAATACAATACAATAAATATGAATACGAAGATATAATAATATGAATATCATACAATAAATATGAAAACGAAGAGCTTATCAGTGTTAAGGTTATAAACATTGGCAGATATCAGTCAGACGCTACCCGCTATTAAATAAGTACCCAAATTTTTAAAAAAGGTTTGTGGGCATAACATGTTATACAGATCAAGTAAAAAAAAAAAAAAATGGAGGGCCTTGAAAAGTCATAGAAATAGATGAGTCTTTTTTCTAAAAGAAAAAAAATCATGTAGGGAGAGTTCTACCTGAACAATGGATGTTTGGCTGAATTTGCAGAGTAACAGACTTGTGTTTCATCGTCAAAATAAACGACAGAAAGGCAACAACTTTATTACAGTGTATTAAAACCAATATACAAGAGGGAAGCACCATTTATTCTGACTGAGGGAAGTTGTTTATATCGTTTCTTTTAAATGTACATATGTTATTCAATTGTTTTTTATTATTTCCATTATTTTATTATTACATTTATTTTTGTCTATTTCATATATATGTTGTAAAATGAAATTGTTCTCTTATTGTTGTGGGAATCATTACATTTCTTTTTGTCTATTTCAATTTAAAATCAAACTGTTTTGTTATTATTACACTTGTTTTCGTATATTTCATATATATATATATATATATATATATATATATATATATATATATATATATATTATATATATATATATATATATATATATATATATATATATATATATATATATATATTGATATGTGTTGTAAAATAAAAGTATTTGTTTTTGTTTACAATTTCAATAATATGAATATAATATAATAAATATGAATACGAAGATAGGGATTATCAGTACCTTATCAGAATTATCACTGTTTAGGTTATAAACATTGACAGATAGCAGTCGATCCCTATCGGCTACTAGACAATTACCGTGAGGTACAAGTACCGGTAAATGTTAAGGATGTCATTCATATTGTAATGAGCTATAGAACGCGGTACAGACCCCTTTTTATCAAATTCTTAAGATCCGTCCAAAACTTAGGGAATGGGGCACTTCATCTTATCGCTAACTACAACTTTTTATTTACGAAAAATCTCTTAAATTGGGTGTTTTTAATCAGGAAGTCGATGAAATTTGTCTATTTAATGAAGTAAAAACTCATTGATTCGTAAGATAATTTGATAAAAAAATCGACGAAAAAGGTGGCCTACAAAAATATTGATCCGTTTGGCGTGACCTCCACCTCCAATTTATTAAAAAAAGGTTCTGTATTGCTGGCTATATTAGTATCCTTAAAAAACAACTCTATATAGTGATTTTAATTCATTTGAACCAATCATTGAAGGAGCCATTTTCAATATTTTGAGGGGCATGGATGCGTTTTGCTTTCTGTTTTAGAACCACTAGAATACGATCAAGCGATTATGCGATTTTAAGGTGTACTTTAATATATATATATCCCTGCCCCTCCCCCTGATGATCAAGGATTCTGTAGCAGATAACCTCGCGTATTTACTCCTTTATATGACATTGTGTGAGGGAATGAGAAGGAATGTACGGTTGCACGATGAATTGTACTCAATTGTGCGGTGGACAAATTATTCATTGAAAAGTCTCATATCGATAAACAATCGATGAAAAAAGAAAGTTGGAATAGGACGGAGCAGGTAGCAACCGCTGGAGAAGGATGCCAGGGAGAGAAGAAGGCACTTGAGGCCTGGACACAGAGGCGAAAGGACCTTGCCTGTGAAGAGAAGCCTACTACACCCAAGACTAAGAATATCAAGCCTACAGTTATTATACTTTGATAGATTTATTAATTACAGTTGTAAAGATAAATAGTTTTATTATACAGAAGTGAAAAGTAATTTTATTTAGTTGTTCTATATGCCTCACAATTGAATGATAACAAACCAGGTGAGTCAATTCATTCAAAGTGTTTACTAAGTCCCACATTTCATGTATATATTCTTATGGTTTCTTCTCACTCAGTGCACAAAAGGTATTAGGTTCCCGAATTCCCAACGACAGTTAAACACCCTCAAAAAGTCTATGTCCAGTGCCGGGGTTTTGTTTTAATAATTCACGAGTGTAAATAACCTATATCCCCGATATAAAAGCGGAAGGCTATTCGCCAATTCCCGCCAAAACATATTATTTAAAATTAACTTTAGTAGGTTATTTACAGTACTGTACTGAAGTGTATTAAATACAGTGAAGGTTCATTTGTCTACCACTTCAAGCCAATGATTTAAAAAATATTTTGCCAGTCATAATATGATTGAAACAGAGGATTATGTTTCAAAAGGTAGGTTATAGGATTTTGTCTTTTTAACTTCATCTAGGTTGTTTCAAAAGTCCTTGTGCATAAGTATTGCTTTATTTTATTTTACATATTTTAAAAATTAAACTAATATTTTAAAAACTCTTCAAAGTAAAGTCATGTCCAGTGTCGAAATTTTGTTTTAATATTCACAAGTGTAAATAACCTAGTCTCCTGATAAAAACGGAAAGAATATTCACAATTTCTGCCAAAAAGGTCATTAACCTTTTAACATGTTATTTACAATTCAGTGTAAATATCTTTATATTATTTCTGTCTTAATTTGTTTTTAAGAAAAATAAATGAAACCTTATAGAAAAATTAAAATTTAAGTTTATTAAATGGAGACAATAATACAGTACAGTTGAAAACTTCCTGCAGTTCCATTAATAATACTTTAACGTACGTGGGACAAATCAAATGATGGTTTGCTAGCCCGTGCTTTGTCCCGAACAGGGCCTTTGATACGAACAATCCACTTTGAGCAGGAAGATCCTCCCTTGTTTGGTACAAACTTGATTCATTAACCAAAACATCTATGGGATCCAAGTCCAGTAGCTTTGATCTTCGGGCAGCTATCAGTTTGGTTAAACTCGATAGATTACAGTTTAACCTTAGGCATGATTATTATGATGAAAGAATCCATTCACACAATATTATAATATAAGTATCAGTTTTGAGATGGTTAAAATTGACATGTAAGTTTATTTGATGTGAAAATAAATGAATCATATCGACAGCCACATTGAAAAATCTTGTAACAATAAAAAATAAAAATTTTCAGGAGACAAAAAAACTGCATAATTTTTGTTCTGTGAGCATAATATTTTAAGTTCAATTTTTGCTTTCACCTACCTATAAATGAAATATACAGTAAAGGAAAGTATTGCGATCGTGAAATTTTTTTAAATCTGTTTTCAACAGAAATACAGGTTTTGAGATCTCCTGACTTCAAATAACCAAGTCCCGCAAAATGGTCTGTGTGTATGTTAACAGTGTAGCTCAAAAACGAAAAGTCGTACGAAAGTGAAATTGCATATTTAAGGTTTTTATATGCTAGGGATGTTACAGTAACTTTTTCGTCAAAATCGACTGACCGGAAGTGGCACTTTATATCATGGGCTAAACACATTTTTACAATTTTCTCGGAAACGGCTCAAACGATTTTGATTAAATTCATTATATCAGTGTAAAATTAAGCAGTTTTAAATAAAATGTAGTTTTTATTCTGATTGATGTTCTCTAACAGAGCTTAAACGGCTAATTTTCAATATTAGCTTCCTCTAAAGTACCATTAATTTTTTTTTATTTTATACAGTGTACTATTTCACATTAATCTCTAATATAAAAGATAATTAAATATAAAATATGAAAGAATTTCATAATTAACTAAAGGAGAAATAAAAAATCGTAACGGAGAATAGTTGTAATTGATCGACCAGCTCGCGAAAGATTATAACAGGCTTCCATACGTAACATGAGTTAATATAATACGGACAATATTATATTACTATACATATGCGGTTTTCATAAATGCTAATGTTGTTATTATTTAATATTTAATTGTATAGATTACACATATTAAAATTTGTATATATAAGGGTACTTATACAAATAAAAATACCCACAATGAAATATAAATCAGTATAGCGCCTATAATTTTTATTTTCACTTCTCCTTTGTCTGAAAATACTTATTTCTGATAAGAAGAGTTAGTGAATGTTGTGTGATACGCGTACCGCACCAGATTTTATTTATTTTTTGTAGAAATAGATGTAATGATCTATGTAACTTTTTCGATCGTATTTCTGCCAAATAATCTTTTAGAGCCATTACTTTTAACTAGAAACGATACTTCGAAAGAAAATTTGAAAAACATTTGATTGGATAGAGTCACTTTTTTTTTTTTTTTTACCGTACTGAACTTGATAAGGTCGTGGTTTGATTCAGGAATGCTTGATAAGTTCAAAGTAATCTGATGATGTATAGATAACTTCGTTTCTGAGCTTCTTCCTTTTTCGAAGATTTATTGGTTTGAAAAGGTGAGACTAGAGTTCTCTTTTCGTCTTGTGTTAAATTTTCCCATTAAAGGAATCAATTCTTTGTCTCTCAGTATCTGGAATGCGGCGGAATTGTAGCTTTAGTCAAGCTAATTTTACAGTTGCCAGGAGGTTTCAATTGTTTTCAAGGCCGTTCAATATTATATTACCATCTTACCACTCTCTTCTTTGCTTCCTCTAGTTCCATGGTAAGCAGTACCGGCCTCAGAGCAGAGAAACCGCCACAATCAGAGTGTCCGCCACTTATTAGAAATTAAAAATATATATATATATATATATATATATATATATATATAAATCGTATGAGAAAAATTAATTTTAGCGTATTGTAATTGATACTGTAGTCTATGAGCAAAACACTTTACATAATCTATATTTACATGAAAACCTTTCATTGAGCATTCCATTACATTTTTTCGATAACAGCACAATCTCTATAACCTTAACTGTGAAGTACAGTTTTTTATATCACAATTTGCTGTTTTTTAAGTTACATATTTTTAAACAAAGGCCATAGATAAGAAATGAAACATCTTTGATATCATTTTGTGGGATTAGAATTTGCACCAGGTCAAGATTAACCAGAAAAGCTCAAAACATAATTTTCCAGTGCGGCTATCGATATTTAAATATTTCATTAGAGGTAATCCGAGGTTAAATATCTAAAGGATAGACCATAGTTTAGTTGGGAGAATTGTTCCAGGAATAGAGACTGGACTTGTGCTACACTGAGATATACTAATGGTGAATCTTTAAAATATATTTAAACTATTGAACGCTCTTATGTATACTTGCATATAATCATACATGGACCTATAAATATTCACTATATTTAAATTGTAATAATCATAATATATATAAAATAAAATAATACATTCATCTGAGGAAGACAATATAATTAATTCATTTCTCAATGTAATTAATATTAGTAAAACATTGATTTGAAATTATGTTACAGTTTGATAAATCCAAACAACAAAGACATGATTCTCCAACATGCAAGTGAATAGTTAGTTTCAGTTTTCACTAATTCAGGTATCATCTGGGAAAAAAAAACAAAAAAAAAATCACATATATGCAGAAACAAAAACAAAAATTAAAAATTAAAAATGAATGCAGTTGACATCTCAGGGAGCAATCCAAATACATACTAAAGGAAAGAGAAGGTTATATTAACAACAGCTGAGGAAGGTTATATTGAACAGCTGACTTGATGTATTACAAGGGAAAAAATATTGCTTCCAGCTTTGTCATTTAATTTTTAATTTTTTAAAATTTATTTGTCCAATTTTTTAAAATTTAATATAACACATTTTGTAATGGTATATTTTAATTATAACTATGTATTTCCCGTCTGATCAGCTGTTCAATATAACCTTCCTTAGCTTCTGTTAATAGAACCTTTTCTTTCTTTCAGTATAGATTCGGATGCCTTCGCGAGATGTCCACTGCTTTGATATATCTTTTTCTTTTTGTTCCTATTTCTGCACATATGTAATTTTGGTTTTTTCTGCCCTGATCACGGAGAATCATGGCTTTGTTGTTTGGATTTTTCCAATTATAACATAATCACCTTCTGTCTCATTTCTAGTTTTATGCTTATTTTAATTGATTTGAAAATTATTACAACATATTTTAAAAGAAATTTTTATATTCATGATCAAATCATAGTTTTTTTTTAAACTTGATTAAACGTATTATTTTCTTACTAGACAAATTATTTTATATTTTGATGGGCATGCAGTGTATATATATTTTTTAGTTTTTATTATTACATTACTATATCATAAAGATAACGAAGAAACAATGATCGAACAAATTTTAAAATGAAGCTTTCCTGCCTTAATAGGTAAGTGTACTTATGTTTGTATAAAATACGCATTGCACAGCTTCCTGATAAACTGAAAATTTATAAGTTCGGGTCCTGATACCAAGGGGGCTTTTAACTCTTGTGTTAATCACCAGCCATCTTACCAGGCCTAGGAAAAATCCTGCATATTCGGAAAGGTGAGGTACGAGAGAATTTATACGCCGACTTTAATTCTCTTTTGCTTCCTTTGATTTCTATTCATAATTATAATAGGATAATGCAAATGCGATTCCCAACTTCCGTCATGTTTATTTTTCTGAAAATACAGAAATGTTTAAGTTTCCTGTATCTTGTTTTTATTTGTCTGCATTTATTATAATTTGTGAAATGTTAAACGCAACTTAAAAGATTGCGTGTTGTTTCTTTAACTATCGATCAGGTTTACAAAGAGGTAGAGAAGAATCTGGCAATCTAAGATACAAATCGCCTCTTTACTGTCACTCCAGGAAAAGTCTACTGGATGAGAATGAGTGCTATTGCTCTCTGGATTCTTGGAGAAAACAAATCCATTTCCTCCAATTGCCTGGCCATTCTTTCAATTTCCTATTTTTTTTACTGCCCCTATTGTCCAGGATTTCATATCATATTTGCATTTATGACATCTCTGCTCTATTTCGTTCTTCTATTACTGCTATTACGAGAGATGAAAAGTAATGCAACGGTATACAAAGAAGATTAACAAACATAATACTAACGTGTCTCCTTAGAGCATTAAATTTTGTACACGTTTTATTATAAGCAATATATTTTAATCCGAATTTCAGAGAAAGGCTAGCTACATATTAAATCAAGCAGGTATTTCTAAGGGTTATCAAAAAGAAAATAACTAAATATAGTATTAAAAAAATCTATGTTAGTTATTAAAATTGTATTATCAATAAATCTGAACGTTACTACCGATAGTCACGTGTAAAAAATAACTGCTAATTTTTTTCTAAAATGGTTTTATATAATATCGTTAGATTATTGGGATTTATTTTTATCATTAGATTTTTAAAGGAATGTTCGATAAATTTATTTTTGTATTGCCTTTATCAGTTTCTTTTTTTATCAAAGATCTTTTATATATATTTTTTTAAATTTATGTGAAATTCTCTCAAAACTATTCAATATAAAATATTGATACATTTTATTCGTAGATAAAAATATTTACTTTAGGTATATTTACGTCAAAATTTTATTATTTTTTAAGAATCGAGCTAACACAGTCTGAGTATGATAATAAATCGATTTTTGAAATATTTACAATTTAGAGAAATATTTTTATCACATTTATAATTCGAACAAGAAAGTTTTTCTAAAATGTGGAAAATCTGTATTCCAATAAAAAGCAAGTGAAAAAAGTTGGGAATTATCCATGATTTTATGAAAAACAGAGCTTAGTGTAGTTTAACTGCTTAAAAGCCCCTCTTGAAATGATATTAACAAAAACAAACAATACTTACATTTAAACAAAATTTTGTCTTGTTTACAATAAAACATTTTATAATTACCAAGATCAAACAATCTTTTTGTTATCGCTTTATATATATATATATAAAAAATATGGCATAAATAATTATAGAAAACTTAAATTTTCTGCTTTTCTGTGTGTTGTGAAATAATCTCTTGAAGTATGGTTCGGTACGCTCATATGTACACTCTACGTATATATATGATTTTAATCTCGACCATTGTGCCTCCATTTATTTACTATATTTAATAAGAAATAGTGTAGCGATACACTTACTTGGTTGAAGCCTCTTCAGCATGCTGTTGTCCATCGTCGCCGATCGGGGAGGTTCCTGGAGAACTCTTTCCGCTGGGAATACAAGCATCGTTTGGAGAGTTGCTTCCAGATCCCTGGAACACACAAAATTAGTATATACAAACTGCGCGTTTAGAATATCTAGAATATCTTTAGTTCACAAGAGAAGGATCCAAAGCGGATCTTCTAGATTTTAATTTTTTTTCGGTGTAATTCTAGGCATAAAAATATTAACGTACTACAAATATTTGCGGCTGAGCCCTCAAAAAAGTCAGGAAGTTTACATGAGCAAAGCATATTTTGTTTTATATATCTGGCTTTGTTGTGATAGTAAAAAAAATATATATTTACTAGTTGGCAATTATAATTTCGTTACTACAGTTCATGATTATAGTTATATTGAAGAAGTCAGTCGACTGTTCTTCTTCATATTATGGATGATAAATATTCAGGACGCAGTCATTATAAAGGGCGTGTTTTGAACACTTGGATACCTTCAGTGCTCGAAACATGCCCTGATGATGAGCCACATATTTGGGTTGAAACGTTTGCACCAATAAAAACTTTATAATGACTGAGTCCTGAATATTTATCACCCATGAATATAATTTATTATTTGAGTAATTTATTTCCAAAGTATACCCTAATCATTAACAATTTCTCTGGAAACTCAAAAAACTATATTTTCTATTCCAATTGTAATATCAACACCAATATTTAAAAATAAGTAAATTATGACATCCTTTTTTGTAGAACATATTTCCAAAAATCAGTGACTATTTCAACAATAATAAAAGAACATTGAAACTTAAATAGAATCGCTTTTGGAAATAAATAAACTTCAAGATCCGTTTTGGAATAAAAATAAAAGGTCATTCGATTTTATTTTTTTATTTATTTTTTTTTTTGCAGAGAACAAATGGTGTATGATTACTATAAAAATATGATACAACTGAGGAACCATCTTAGAAATCTGTCAACTAACTGTAAATCGTTCTTATTTTTCTTTTTCAGTGAATATAAGAATTGCTCTGATGATGGGAAAATTGTCTCGAAACGTTAGAGGTGATAAATGTGAATAAAGGTATATGAAGAAAATTGGAAGTTTTTTTGCCTTAATTTTGAAAAAAAAGTTCTTATTTAGTGTCCAGTGTCCAAATCTCACAGGCGTAAGTAAGTATAGACCGGATAATTGTTCTGCTTCTAAAAAAGTCCAAATAGATCTTATTGTAGTCATGTATATATAACGCTTAGAGAGTTTTTCTAGTAGTCGGAAACGTCGAGCGGTTTCTTGTCGTTTCAGTCTGGTATGAGAATTTCAAGTTAGACTTTTGTCCAAGTGGAGTCCAAGGTATCGGATTTGTTCAACAGGGATAAGTGGGGTATTTTTAAAAGATACTGTAGGACAGGAGATCATAGGTTTACGGCAAAGGATAAAAGTGATATGATGGGATTTATTTATTTTTATGTATTTATTGAGTATTAAAACAATATGTACAAAAATATAAAATAAATAGAAGCAAAATAACAATAAATAATAATCAAAATGCATACACAATAAATAAAATAAAATAACCTAAAAATAAGAAAATTTAAACTAAGCAAAAAACACATGCATACCTATATACAATCAGGCAAGGGAACTCCAGGAGAACCCTGCGCTACTCTCTCAACCGCATCACTGGTACTAAAGCCAGCGGAGATTGATCCAGAGCCACGTACACTCATGTCTTGAATGAAGAATCTGGCCATTGCCAGAACTCTAATGTATACAATCTACAAAACTTTCATGGAGGATTATAGGGATGGTGCTTGATAGGGATTGTACAAGAGGATTTGGGTGGTACGTAAGGTTCTGGTGAAATTCGGAGAATTTTTCTGGGGAAAAGGTCTAGGACAAATGGGATGTTGAGGTCACAATGTAGGGTTTTGTTGGTTACATAGAAAGGGGCATCGACTATTGTTCGAAGGACTTTTGACTGGAAGGATGCGGTAGATGTTAGAAAATTTTGCTGTTCCCCACAGTTCTAGTCCATAAGTCCAAATAGGTTTCTGTATTGTCTTGTAGATCAGTATATTGTGATGGGATTCATTAGAATTTATTTAAATCCTCCAGTTTCGACACCATTCTTCAAGAAAATAAAATATACAATTAAATAAGTACATACCAAAGGACTTGCAGAGGGAGGCCTGGACACCGGAGAGGGAGACTTCTTGATGTAGTAGCTGTTGACCGCTGGACTCCGGAGGGCCGAAGTAGGTCGCCTCGAGAAGGCCAATGGGCGGCGAGGTTTGGAGCGACCACGCCTGTAGCAGAGGCAAGTGACGGCGGAGAGCGACACCAGGAGCAAGCTGCAACCGAGCAGGATCGACACCAGCCCAGGACCGCTCACTGCAAAACGATTTTTATAATAAATATATTTTTATATTATTTAAATATTTAAACTTTAAAATAATATAATAATGCTTGTTTTTATATGTGAGGAGTTGGAAGTAATCTAAGGTTTTCATAAAAGAACCTTGTTGGGGTCAGGGGTATTTCAAAATTAAAATACAAATCTTTCCCCTGTGAGTTTCCTCAAACTTGGGAATAATACGAACAAAATTAAATGGTGAGAAAAAAAAAGTTAAGATGAGATCTTTAAAACATGAAAAATGTGGATGCACCAGAAAATAATAAAAAATAGAAATATTTGAATAAATCAAAAAAACGGAAAATAAAATATCTCCTTTTGAACGTTTATAATTTATTATAGTGGAAAAAATATATATACAAATGCTGAAAAAAAACAAATGAAAAACGAGTATTAAAATGCACTGAAATAAAATCAAACATAAAATATAATGTTCAGTGAAAATGAAACCAAATTAATAACAAAATATCAACTTCCAAGATTATAGAGAAAAAAACAACTGTCTATAAGAATAAAACTAATTTAGCCTAGGAAAAAATTAAAGTAATTTACTGTCTTTCGTGGTGATGGAGAATAAAAAAAAAAACGAGGTAAGTTGGAGGTTCTGCTTCCAACGAGGTTACCTTCTACGAATTTTAGCCTTCAAAGTAGTCGATGGTGGGGGAATCGATATGTATATCGATCTTGATTGATGACTAGATATGACACAGCTGGGCTCTTCAAAATGGCGCTAGGATGGTGCCAGGTGATGACAACAAAGGCTCGCTGCAGACTGACTTTAGACCGCATCCGGTAGTCTTATCGCAATATTTGTCTTAATCCATAAGACTGGGTATTATTGACGAGCTGGAGCGTATACACAAACGAGATAATATATCGTAAATGAAGCTAAATATATAAACAATGTACAACTATATCGATGGCCTGGGCAACATCCAGAAAGACGCTTAAAGACCAAAATAATTAATGTAAACTCAATAGTCTTCGAGATAAGGCTTTTTAAAGTTCAGAAAACTATCAGTATTACCCATTGAGGTTATTGTGGAGCCATGATATTTGAATTTTTCTAATATTTCTCTACAAATATTAACAGTAATTCACAATAACCAATTTTTAACAGTTTTACAAGATATTTAAGAAATATTAAGTAACATTTTCCGTTAAAGATTAATAATTTCCATGGCGTTCTGTAAGAGAAGACGTTGTTTATTCTTAAAGGACTTTTCCTATTTACAATTAGAGCTCACTCGTTACGACTTCCTCCGCTCACAGGATTCATCTCTTTTATCGAATTAAGGAGTTTGTCCCAAAGGAGTAGAAGAGAGAGGGGGTCTTTGTATTTTCATTCCGCCTCGAAATTTCTTGTTTAGACAGCACGGATTCTTAGGATTCAGTTTGGAACTTTACATCTAAAGCTTGTTTAAAAATAGGGCTTTATTTGACTGCTAATGAAAATAAGAGAATAGGATTTAGTGGGACTTAAAGTTAATTGTAGGGATTTTACCGGAGTAAAATTTCATTTTAAGTTGACAATTTTCCTGGTTTCATGAAATATGAATAACTTGTTATAGTTGCTTGTACGTTTCATGTCTCAGAATATATCATGTTAGTATGGCATGGTTGAAAGGAGTTTATGTATAGTTGATATACATTAACCATACCATAATAAAAATTTATTATAAATGTGTTTGTTTGATAATAATTCATTGGTTAGAATAAATACACACTTAATGCATATATATATATATATGCAAGTTTCCAATGTAAGTCAAATGATATTTTAGTATCAGGAGCGTAATAGGTTACAGGAGCTCTATAATTAGCACTAATTACACAGCAGTTCATTTAATCACACATGTATTGAGCTCCTGTAATGTCCTACTATTCTAATAAAAATATATAGATTTAAGGCTATTTGTACGGAAAACGGTATTTATTAATCTGGAGGTTGTAGTTTTATTTTACTTAGGATTGTATTGTATTATAATAATTATGAAACAGAAAAGGAAACAATATAACGAACAATAAAAATATTAGAAATAATTTTTAAAAATTATTGCCAGGCTTACACGAAGCTGGACAAGTTGAATATATATTACGGTCACAAATTGGTATTATGGATATATATAATAATATGATTTGGCAATAAGGCGCGATGTACACTATAGATTTTTAAAACAATTTCCAAACTGTGGTTTCGTTCAGTTTATTTTATGTTGATAAAAAATAATACAGCCTTTAACATGTACTACAAACAACATGTAAATTAAAGTTATTCAATTTGAGCAACGAGTAATAAAATTAAATTAATAGTTGTATTATTAGTAAAATAGGGACAGAGGATATCCTCCAAGTATATATATATATATATATATATATATATATATATATATGTGTGTGTGTGTGTATGTATGTATAATGTTCTCAAACAAAGAATTAAACTATCTTGTCGTACCCTAACTATTAGGAACAACTATTCCGCTAAGCCGTTAACTAAGCGGGTTTAAGTGACTAAAAACAGACTATTTTCTTTAGTGTAGTATGAGTATTAAATGGGAGATATTGTAAGAAAAAAGATTCTTGACTTATATTTAAAATTATTCAATCTTACCTCGAGTGCAAATTACATTAAAATTACATATTATATCGTCGAAGGTACAATATAATGTGTATTTTTTAACAGAAACTGGAATTTGTCACTCTCCTAAAATTCCATTTTTTTACATCTAGCTTGTTAAAATATACGATTCATGAAAGCCTTAAACTTATTGCAAACATTTTATATCAGTTACTATAATTTAACTTTTATTCAAGAACTTTAATAAACATAAGTTAAACTTTTACTGTAAACCTGAAATTTTATTATAAAAAAATAAAAAATCTTAAACTGAAATCGTTAAAATGGAACTATAAAAAGATGTTTCAACCTCTGATACATATACATCACACAAGGTTTGTTTATTTTGTAAATCATATTTGACAAATATACGGTATCGCTAAAAAGAGCTACAAAAAATTCAAACGTTCCAATCAAAATTATTGCGACTCAACAAAAGCACCTTGGTACGTGACTAACAAAACTCTACATATTGACCTCAACTTTCAAACAGTTGACCAATATATAACGACTCTTTATCAACGACTTTACACTGATTTAAGCAGACATACTAAGAGACATGGGCACAGCTGACATACCTCAGAACATGAGGAGGAGACTAAAAAGGCCTTGGATGAGAGATCTACTTCCTTAAACGACCTAAGTAATTGTAACAAGAGGTACTGCTGAGTACTTTCCTTCCTCATGCCTGTCATTTCATTATTTCATGTATCGCCATCACATTTTATGATTGTCAACAATAAGTTTACAGACGCAAATAGATTTTCATAGACAAAAAAAAATAATAAAAATTACTTGTTTCGAACAGTCTTATATTTAGGATTCCAATTATTATTTTCAGGAGAATTCCAATTCCAGCTATGGAATGTTGAAGTAGGGAGAAGAGGAGTTGAAGTAGCATTTTCCCGCCTCATGAATAAACGAAGACAAATAAGAAGCAACAATTTTTCTCCAGGTTTTCATTTATTCCAGTAGTAAGAAGCCGGTGTTGTAAACTTTAATTATTTCTGGCCTTTACAGGGTGCGCCTTGGGACCTGACGGATTCCATCAGGAACACCCCCTCCTCCCCTCTCTTCGTCCCCCGACCCTGGACCGTAACGAAGTAATTACGAAAAAGGAATACACAAGGAGAACCGAGAAAGAAATAAAAGCGGAATCAATTTCAATCAGGATTTTCATTTAGCGGAACAAACCAGCGGCAATAACTTCGTTTTTCTTCCTGCCTTTTATTTAGCCCCTGCCACTTTAATTATAATCTCATAATTCCTGTCTCTTTGTTTCTCTTTCAAAGAAATTAATAATAATAACTATTATTGGCCAGCCAAAACTCTCACATTAAATACTTATTCTTCTCTGTAATTCATCTGACGCACAGTGGGGCGAGCATAAGATGCTATTGGACTTTAGAAGAAAAACCAAAGTTTTTGTCATTTTTTTAAGTATAATTTTTAAGTATAATTTTTTATAAGTACAGTGATCCCCTGGAGTCATGCTTCTCCCTCCACAGTTGAAGAAACAAGTCTGGTTTGGAGTTCTCTCGTCAGATTGGAAATGTTGTATATAGGTATGTATGTGTTCTTTTTATTTATTTATTTCTAGGTTATTTTATTCTTATTTATTGTATATATATTATTTTTCTGTATAATTTATTTTATTTATTACATACATAGTACATAGAGTGTGAATGTGATTGATGTGAGCAATTATAAATGTTCATGAAACAGATTGTAATATTTGTAGGCCAGTGTTTCAACTGCCTCCCGCAGTGCCACATCCAACGCCCTGAAGACGACCTGCAAAGTGGGTCGAAACGTCGGCAAAAATTAAAATTATTTATATATTTTAATTTTTTGATTTATTTGACCGCACCCTCGACTAAGTCCTTCTCATGTAATATTTTTCAATGAATAAGTTTAAAAAAAATTTCTTAATGATATTTACAACTGTATTAAAGAAATACATTTAGTGACTTTGAACATACGGATATACTGATGTGAAAACACTTGTTGATTAACTACCCAATGGTAGCACTCTAGGGCATAATTATTGAAATTTACAACTGTATTAGATAAAAAATACAACTAACAAATTTGAATTGATAATATGACATGTACACCATGAAGAGAAACTAACCATTTGTAGGGCCCCTCCCAAAAAAACTACTAAGATAGGTGCTTTAGATCAGACATTAGAAGTTAAAACATCAACAAGGCGATTAATAAATATAAATTATAAATACTAGCTAATTATAAAGAGGATTAGATGCTGAAAGTTTCCGTTGCTTACAGTATGCATTTTTAATTTATGCAATATATTATTTTTTTATTTACTTAATTTTTCAACTCACACCTGTCAGAAGTTCCGACAATCCACGAGTGTGATATCAAGATGTTGAAGGTTAATAGGTATTGGAATAGACGTGATGGAGAGGAGTCCCCAGCGGCGTCCTTCCTGTCTTGAGTGTAATATTTATGGTTAGTGGAGGAGATCCCTCATCCAGCTTCTTTTAAGCCTCCTTCGGGTGCTATCGGGCATGTTAGTTGTGGCTATGCTTCTAGTCAATAAATTGGTATGTCCGTGTATGTGAAATATTTAAATCCATATTTTCCATAAAAATTGTTATCATTTAGTTTTCGACACTATTTTTCCTTTTCACTTCCCTAATTCGACGTAGCGTTAAAACACAATTTTTAATAATAGTTCATTACAAAGAGGATGGAATGATTTGCTTTGCTTACAATATAAAATCTGATAAATTTATTTGAATAATTGCAATACAATCAAGGACATTTGTTATTATGGCTCTATGTTTACATTCATTTTTAAAATATACAGGTACGATTTTTATTGTATGAGATACTTTAATCCATATACAAAACATTTTCAATTAGTCGACTCCAGCCGAGTTTATCCGTGCGTTACACATCGGTGATCTGACGAATCAATCTAATTCACTCTCCAGAAAAAAAAAGTACCAAACGCTCCTAAAAAAGTTTTCACTTCAAAAACAAACTAAAAATATTAAAGGTTATATTAAATTGGCGATAAACTAATATAGTTTCCTCTTCTTGTTCAGCAATTCTTAATCTAATTAACGCATTAATATGCCTTGCATTCTTCAGTCATGATTTCATTGAAAAAGCCTCAAACTAAGTCAATCATTACTCCGTCTACCCTACCATACTATTTATAATATTATTTATATTTACTTTTTTTTTATAATATATGAGCAAAAGTTATAATTGATTTTGGGTATTTTTTTCATAATAGAAGGTATCTATTAATAATTATTTTAATTATTAACTTCTTGTTAAGGTTTCGGGTTTCTAATCCATCGTCGGGGACAATTATTTCTGATTGATATGAACTATCATTTATAATCAAAAATTTTCTCAACAAGCATCTCTTTGTCACGAAAGCGCATGATAAATATTTTGTCAAAGAGTTAAAAATATATCAAAAAACAAAATTTTTTTTTTAATTGTTGTTGTATTCACAGTCACATTGTCTTCGAAGATGTACAAGGAGCCCGAAACGTTGACTAGAAGATAAGAAATAAAATAATTATCAATGAAAGAGGTACCCATGTATCATAATAAAATAAAGAATAATGTTTTTGTTTCCATTTAGTATAAATTACTTATTTTACTGTATGTTTTTA